GATTTTCCCCCCAACACAGGAGACGCATGGCATCCCTGACTTGCCCCCCTTCTCCAAATCCAAGCCCTTCACTGACCCGTGAGCCGCAGTGCGCTCGATGGCATCAATACCAACGTGTGCCATACGCGCATGCCACATGTCTGTCTTAGACCGCACGCCCGTTGCCAAGGTACGAAGCGCCACCGTTTCGCCTTCCTGCTGCTGCGTCGAACACGGCTGGAAGTTCGTGCAGAGAACACGGCCCTTGAACTCCGCACGACCAAGAAGTGATCCATCTGGTGCCCTTAGCAGAGTCACATCGCCCGCATCCAGCAGCTGCACGCCGCTATCACGCAGCTGCCCAGCAGAAAGAAGACTCGCCTGCACTCCAGGTACGTACAGCACGTCCGGCACCAAGACACGCCTGCCCCCCTCTCCAAGAAGAGCGACTGTGCCTCGCCCCTGCACCTCCTGAAGCGCGCCGTTGAAGCCAGTAACCTGTTTAATACTGCCGCCGCTGCTCATCTCCACAAAGGCAGAACGATCTCCCATGAGATGGTGGGAGCATCCGCTATCAAGCAGCACGACGCTCGGGTTCGCCTTCACAGCAGCTGCAACAGCCTGTAAGCCCTCCCCGGCCTCAGGCTCCAGCACAACGAGAGGAGTCTGCTCTACAACGGGCTTCACCATCGCACATGATGACTGCCCGCTCCCCTTAGAGCCATCACCCCCCTTGCTGCTGCTACCTCCAGAACCCTCTCCACCAGTGTCTGCCTCCTTATCCGCCCGCTGCTGACAGTACTTAGCAACATGCCCTATTTGTCCACACACATAGCACTTCCCCTTGAAGCCCCCTTTCCCCCCCTTCGGCTGGCCATCCTTACCCCCTTTCCACTTCTCCCCTCCCCCACCAACCCCACCCCCATTCTTAGGCTGCTGCTGCTGTGCCGTAGTGGGAGGGGAAGGGAATGAAGTCTGCTGGAATTGGGGCTTACCCTTCTTGGTAAAGACTTGGTTAGTCTGGGGAAGGAATTGGTCCTTTCGTCCCTCCGCCGCCAGCGTACACTCCTCCTCGATGATGTAGCTAGCGAGGGTGTTCTCGTCCAGCTCCTTGCGCACCTGCGGCAGTTTCAGCATCCTGCGTAAGAGGTTGTACTGCTGCGGCAACCCCTTCACGACGTGAGTAATGTACGACGCCTGCGAGTAATCTACGCCGGCCATCCTCAGGTTCACTAGGATCTGCTGCGCACGGTTGCAATAGGACGTGGCGGACTCGTGCTCTCCCATCTCGAGGTTAGTGAGCGCCTGCTCTAGCTGACCTATGTACAGATCGTCCTTCGCCATGCCTGAAAGTCGGCATCTACTTTGAAGCGGCACGCCTTAAGGGCGATCTCTACGGTTGGGGAGCAGCATCGGGAAATGGTGGTGAACGTTAGCAATTGCATCGCACGGAACTGAGAGAGATGTGCAAGTGTACGCGCTGGTGGAATGGGAGTGGTGCCATCTATGAATCACTTTAGCTGAGCAATCTCAAGCTGCGGCTCGATCGATTCTGTCCACATCGACAGGTCATGACGTCCTTCTAACGGCCTAGGGACGACGATCTTGTCTGGAGTGAATTTGAAGAAGCCATAGTTGGGGCCTATTCCCTTGTCCCTCGACATCGATCCAATCGGGGTAACGCCCGGCATAGCCTCACTATCGTACTCCTCCGCACTCCCTCCTCCAGCAACGCTCCGCCGTCCTACACTCGCATGCTCTCGTGACGCTGCCGCACGATGAACACGCTCCTGTACACCGCCAACGCTAGCTGTACTAAACCGGGTCGGTCCTCGCAGAACCCCACGCGACATCAACCCATCAAGCTCCTCGTCATCGCTATTACCGCCATCGACAGCCATATCCCACGCACTAGTACCTCCCGCAGCTTGCTTAACATTCTCTACACGAGGCGAAGGCTGCTCACGACGCCGACGCGAGCGCAATCCCTCCAACATTAGCTCGTATTCGATATCACTAATCTCACCACGAGAATGACGAGCCACGAGATCCTCCTCTAGGGCGCGCAAATTACCGGCCTCCACGTTCGCCTCCTCCGTACTCATCCTCTACGACGTCTCTACAAGGTACCACAAATCAAAATAAATTGCCCCTTCCTTAAATCCCTCGTCTTGGGGTCACCTCACAAGGGTCCTCAGACGAGTGGTAATAGATTACCAAACGCTCTATCCTTGGGTCCGAGAACGTAACTGGAGGGAAATCAAGAGAGGTTCAACTTAGATTAATAAGCGCCCTTCACTAACGCCGCATGCCAAGGCGAGTATACGAACGTGAATATCAACGACGACGGAAAACTATGCGTGTTCGTTCCACGCTCACCGCACCATGAAGGAATATATTAGAGAGCGTAGCGATAGCGAGAGTTTCAGCTATGGGAACGATGTTGCGCCAGCAACTCGGTAGCGTTTCAGTAGCGTTCGTCTCCAAGGACTTAGTGAGATTTCAAGAAGCATTTGGGCTAGAATTGTAATATCAACTATGAATACAAAAGCAAACACACAAGATAGATATACTACGGGAAGGTTTCACAAAGTTGGTGTGGCGCTGCGGAGTAACCCAACCCCACGAAAGTGGTGTGTGGGTGAGCGAACGCGCCTCGTCAACTTCCCAACCCAACTCAGCAGGGAAGTCAATGCCGAGCTCGCTGATTCTCCCAGCACAGCTAGAAATGGCAGGACTCACAGAGTACCACCCACAACTCCCAAGACTCATGCCCACGATTTCCCTAGACTAACACCACCCCAGCAATGACTGTTTAGTGCTGCCGTTGTCACATCGCGTCACTACGCAACCATCGCCAAGTCATAGGGTTGGTGCTGGACTGCTCGTCTTGGTCTTTCATAGTCGACCTGCCAAGTCAAACGGTCGTCGAGGGCCCTTGCTGTCATAGGGCCCTCTAACACTCCCCTGCCATACTATAGCAAGGCCCTTTATAGTCACAGGGCATGCATGCACGCATACACACCAAAAGAAAGGGACCCACACACACAAACGAAGCACTCTCAAAGTGCAAACACGCACCGCACCAGCCATGGATAGGCCATGGCACCATCCACATCATGGAGTGTCTAGGTCTCACTCCCCTCGCTCGAGAGCCTCACCTGCCCCACAGCCTCAAAGCAACGGCTGAAGGCGGGGCAATGCAATGCCTTTGTGAGGTAGTCAGCTGGCTGCTTGCTCGTAGGGATGTACTGCAGCTGCAGCTTCCTGCGCTTGACCATATGCTGCAGCCACATGTGGCGACGCTCCATGTGCTTGAGGCTCCCCTTAAGCCCCATGCCACCTGCCACTGTAATGGCAGAGGAGTTGTCCACAAAGAGGGTTGTGGGCTCCTCACTCCTCAGCAGTTGAAACTCTGCCAGCAGGAAGCGCAGCCTGCGTGCCTCCTTCCTTGCCTCCACAGCAGCAACGTACTCAGACTCAGTGGAGGAGAGGGTGGCGCAACGAATCCTCTGACTCGCCCAAGAGACAGCAGCACCTCCGAGCACGAAGACATAGCCGCCAGTGCTGGTCCTGTTCTGCTTGTCCCCTGCATCATCAGCATCAGCGTAGCCCACCAGCTCCAAGGACTCCGGCCCACCACCAAACTCCAGCGCCACATCGCGGCTCCCCACCAAGTACGCCAAGCACCGGTCCAACTCCTTCCAGTGCTGGTCACTCCGCACAGTCTGGCCCGACCCCAGCTTGCTGTAGGCGAACGAGATGTCGGGGCGAGTGGTACAGGCTGCGAACTGCAAGGATCCCACCTTCTGCCTGTACTCCTCCTCCTGGCGAGATTGCCATCCCACATCCTCGAAGGTCTGCGCACTGAAAGGGTCAGAGGAAAGGGGGGTGCGAGGCACTCGCAGCGGCTGCTCCCCGTCAATGAAGCGCCTATGGACCTTGTCCACATAGGCCCCCTGGTGCAGCCACAGCCTCCTCGTAGGCCTGTCCCGAATCAGCTGCAAGCCCAGATACTTCTCTACAGGGCTAATCTCCCGCAGCTGAAACGCACTCTGCAGCAGGTCACGCAGCTCCCCTAGCATGCTCTGACTGCGGCTGGCAGCAAGCAAGTCATCCACATACACCAGCAGCCAGCACATCTCCCCCTGAGCATCACTCTTGAAGTACAGAGCCTCATCCACCTTGCTCTTCTTCCATCCTGCCCCAAGCAGCACCCCATCCAAGGCCTCATACCACAGCATCCGGCTCTGCTTGAGCCCATACAGACTCTTCACCAACTTACAGACACGAGGAGTCCCATCCTCGTAGTAGCTCGGCTGCTCCATGTAAAGGTCTCGGTCCAGCACGCCATGGAGGAACGCGTTCTTCACATCCAGCTGCATCAAGTCCAAATCGAGTGCAGCTGCAATCGCCAGAAGCACACGCGCCGTCACATAGCTTCCCACAGGGGCGTACGTCTCCTCATAGTCCACCCCTGCCACCTGCGTGAACCCCTTCACCACCAGCCTCGCCTTCTCACGCTCCACTATCCCATCCGGTCGAAACTTGGTGTTCAAAATCCAGCGGTTCTTCATCACATTCACCCCGGAAGGACGCGGAACCAACTCCCACGTCCCCTGCTCAATCAAGCTCCGCATCTCCTCATCCATCGCCTCCTTCACCTTGTCGCCTTTCCAGCAGCCCAAGGCCTCCTTTACTGTCATCTTTGCTATATCCCACTGCCTCTCAGGGTCGGCCACCACGTCTGGGTCCAGGTCCGTCCACTCCTCGTCCTCCTCCTCGTCATCCAAACCCGCTGGCTCAACCACTACAGCCCAAGCATAGCGAACAGGCGGGACACCACGAGTGATGCGAGTGGAGCGACGCAGCGGTGCAGTGATCGTCCCAGAAGCCACCACACAACCACCATCTCTGATTCCCCACATCTCCTGCTCCCCCGTCTGCGGCTCCCGTGTCTGCTGCTCCCCTGGCTGCTGGTCCACCATCTGCTGGTCCCCAATCTGCTCCTCCCCTATCTGCTACTCCCCAATCTGCTGCTCCCCTATCTGCTGCTCCCCTATTTGCTGCTCCCCAGTCTCCTTCCCCCCACTCTGCTGCACTCCATCCATGCTGCTCTCGTCCTGCAGCTGCTCAGTCTCAAAGCGCTGCCCGTCGGTGATCACCATAGACGGCGGCACCACTATCCCCCCCTCACCAACGGGCGGCCCATGGAGATGAAGAGGAGGATGGAGCAGGGGCAGGAGGGATGGAGAGTGGAAGGGGAGAGGGAATAACAGGAGGAGGAGGGGTAGGAGGAACCACACGAGGGTACACAGTAGGAGGAGGTGGGGTGGGGACTGAGGTAGGGACATAGGGCATAGCAGGAGTTGCGACCACGTCCTCCTCCTCCACCTCCTCCTCAAGAGTGCCGGGGAAGAGTGAAGGAAGGGGCTCATAGGGCATTGGACGCCCCCCATGCTCCTGCTGATGCCATGCCTTCCATCCTGCCAAGGACATGGTCTCATAGAAAACTGCTTCCACAGTGGTGATGAGGCGGTTGGACTCCAAGTCCAGCACGTGCCAGCCTTTGCTCGCTGCTGACACCCCCAAGTGCAACCCCTAGCGAGCCTTAGGCGCCAGCTTCCCCCCACGCTGCGACTGCGGCACCATATACTGCACCATGCAGCCCCAAACACGCACCATACTGACATCTGGTTTGCGTCGGAAGGCGAGCTCGTACGGCGTCACACCAGAGGGCAGCGAGGCGCCAGCGCCACACGGCCACGCGGTTGCGCACCCACACGGCCTGCGACAGCGCCAGGTGCCACCAGTGATGCTGCACACCCATGTGCAACAGCATCGTTCGCACCGCCTCCACAATGCTGCGCATCTCCCTCTCGGCCATTCCGTTCTGCTCCGGCGTGTACAAGCATGTGAGGTCGTGGATGATCCCCTTCTCGTCGAGGAAGAGCGTGAAGTAGTGGCCCAGGAACTCGCCACCCCGATCAGTGCGCAGCGCCTTCACCGTGGTCTTGCACTGCCTCTCTGCCATCGGGAGCCACTTCTGGAACGCCGCCAATGCATCGCTCTTCTTGGCCAAAGGGTAGGCCCAAACGTACCGCGTCTTGCGATCCTTCAGCACCAAAAAGTAGCGGCTGCCGTCCTTAGCTGCTTCACAAAAAGGGCCACACAGGTCAGCATGCACCACCCCAAGCAGCTCATCCTCCTCCTCTCCCACAGAAGGAAAGGTATGACGGGTGATTTTCCCCCCAACACAGGAGACGCATGGCATCCCTGACTTGCCCCCCTTCTCCAAATCCAAGCCCTTCACTGACCCGTGAGCCGCAGTGCGCTCGATGGCATCAATACCAACGTGTGCCATACGCGCATGCCACATGTCTGTCTTAGACCGCACGCCCGTCGCCAAGGTACGAAGCGCCACCGTTTCGCCTTCCTGCTGCTGCGTCGAACACGGCTGGAAGTTCGTGCAGAGAACACGGCCCTTGAACTCCGCACGACCAAGAAGTGATCCATCTGGTGCCCTTAGCAGAGTCACATCGCCCGCATCCAGCAGTTGCACGCCGCTATCACGCAGCTGCCCAGCAGAAAGAAGACTCGCCTGCACTCCAGGTACGTACAGCACGTCCGGCACCAAGACACGCCTGCCCCCCTCTCCAAGAAGAGCGACTGTGCCTCGCCCCTGCACCTCCTGAAGCGCGCCGTTGAAGCCAGTAACCTGTTTAATACTGCCGCCGCTGCTCATCTCCACAAAGGCAGAACGATCTCCCATGAGATGGTGGGAGCATCCGCTATCAAGCAGCACGACGCTCGGGTTCGCCTTCACAGCAGCTGCAACAGCCTGTAAGCCCTCCCCGGCCTCAGGCTCCAGCACAACGAGAGGAGTCTGCTCTACAACGGGCTTCACCATCGCACATGATGACTGCCCGCTCCCCTTAGAGCCATCACCCCCCTTGCTGCTGCTACCTCCAGAACCCTCTCCACCAGTGTCTGCCTCCTTATCCGCCCGCTGCTGACAGTACTTAGCAACATGCCCTATTTGTCCACACACATAGCACTTCCCCTTGAAGCCCCCTTTCCCCCCCTTCGGCTGGCCATCCTTACCCCCTTTCCACTTCTCCCCTCCCCCACCAACCCCAACCCCATTCTTAGGCTGCTGCTGCTGTGCCGTAGTGGGAGGGGAAGGGAATGAAGTCTGCTGGAATTGGGGCTTACCCTTCTTGGTAAAGACTTGGCTAGTCTGGGGAAGAAATTGGTCCTTTCGTCCCTCCGCCGCCAGCGTACACTCCTCCTCGATGATGTAGCTAGCGAGGGTGTTCTCGTCCAGCTCCTTGCGCACCTGCGGCAGTTTCAGCATCCTGCGTAAGAGGTTGTACTGCTGCGGCAACCCCTTCACGACGTGAGTAATGTACGACGCCTGCGAGTAATCTACGCCGGCCATCCTCAGGTTCACTAGGATCTGCTGCGCACGATTGCAATAGGACGTGGCGGACTCGTGCTCTCCCATCTCGAGGTTAGTGAGCGCCTGCTCTAGCTGACCTATGTACAGATCGTCCTTCGCCATATACGTGCGCATGATAAACTGCCATGCCTGAAAGCCGGCATCTACTTTGAAGCGGCACGCCTTAAGGGCGATCTCTACGGTTGGGGAGCAGCATCGGGAAATGGTGGTGAACGTTAGCAATTGCATCGCACGGAACTGAGAGAGATGTGCAAGTGTACGCGCTGGTGGAATGGGAGTGGTGCCATCTATGAATCACTTTAGCTGAGCAATCTCAAGCTGCGGCTCGATCGATTCTGTCCACATCGACAGGTCGTGACGTCCTTCTAACGGCCTAGGGACGATGATCTTGTCTGGAGTGAATTTGAAGAAGCCATAGTTGGGGCCTATTCCCTTGTCCCTCGACATCGATCCAATCGGGGTAACGCCCGGCATAGCCTCACTATCGTACTCCTCCGCACTCCCTCCTCCAGCAACGCTCCGCCGTCCTACATTCGCATGCTCTCGTGACGCTGCCGCACGATGAACACGCTCCTGTACACCGCCAACGCTAGCCGTACTAAACCGGGTCGGTCCTCGCAGGACCCCACGCGACATCAACCCATCAAGCTCCTCGTCATCGCTATTACCGCCATCGACAGCCATATCCCACGCACTAGTACCTCCCGCAGCTTGCTTAACATTCTCTACACGAGGCGAAGGCTGCTCACGACGCCGACGCGAGCGCAATCCCTCCAACATTAGCTCGTATTCGATATCACTAATCTCACCACGAGAATGACGAGCCACGAGATCCTCCTCTAGGGCGCGCAAATTACCGGCCTCCACGTTCGCCTCCTCCGTACTCATCCTCTACGACGTCTCTACAAGGTACCACAAATCAAAATAAATTGCCCCTTCCTTAAATCCCTCGTCTTGGGGTCACCTCACAAGGGTCCTCAGACGAGTGGTAATAGATTACCAAACGCTCTATCCTTGGGTCCGAGAACGTAACTGGAGGGAAATCAAGAGAGGTTCAACTTAGATTAATAAGCGCCCTTCACTAACGCCGCACGCCAAGGCGAGTATACGAACGTGAATATCAACGACGACAGAAAACTATGCGTGTTCGTTCCACGCTCACCGCACCATGAAGGAATATATTAGAGAGCGTAGCGATAGCGAGAGTTTCAGCTATGGGAACAATGTTGCGCCAGCAACTCGGTAGCGTTTCAGTAGCGTTCGTCTCCAAGGACTTAGTGAGATTTCAAGAAGCATTTGGGCTAGAATTGTAATATCAACTATGAATACAAAAGCAAACACACAAGATAGATATAGGCTACGGGAAGGTTTCACAAAGTTGGTGTGGCGCTGCGGAGTAACCCAACCCCACGAAAGTGGTGTGTGGGTGAGCAAACGCGCCTCGTCAACTTCCCAACCCAACTCGGCAGGGAAGTCAATGCCGAGCTCGCTGATTCTCCCAGCACAGCTAGAAATGGCAGGATTCACAGAGTACCACCCACAACTCCCAAGACTCATGCCCACGATTTCCCTAGACTAACACCACCCCAGCAATGACTGTTTAGTGCTGCCGTTGTCACATCGCGTCACTACGCAACCATCGCCAAGTCATAGGGTTGGTGCTGGACTGCTCGTCTTGGTCTTTCATAGTCGACCTGCCAAGTCAAACGGTCGTCGAGTGCCCTTGCTGTCGTAGGGCCCTCTAACACGAGCGCCTTCTTTCTTAATCAACCGGATCAAGCTCCTTTTCTGACAGCCATGCGGTGCGGAAGTGCAAGCGAGCCGTGCGTAAGGTGATTCCTTACCCAATGCTCTCCACACGATTCCTTACGCCTCCACCTCCACTTAGTGCAGCCAACCACCACAATCATCCTCACACCACCTAGTGTGTTGTGTCGAGCAGCCACCACACATTGCCTCTCCTGCGGAGCGAAGTGCACTTCACCTGCACCCCCCACATCGTGCTTGCAGACTCTCTCTCTCTCTTCTTTCCCAACGCTAGAGTGACATACAGGGCAGTGATGAAGCCCTGCTGGTTGCACTGGACGAAGTACCACTGGTCGCAGCGCCGTGAGCGGTTGGAGTTGGACGGCCACAGCTGCCACGCGGCGTTGAGGGCCACCAGCGCTTGCACTGCCCGCCCGCCCCGTGCCGCGCCCCCCGCCCTCCCCGCCCTCCCCGCCCCACCCCCCCAATGCACGGCCCGGCACAACCAGCACGCACGGTATGACCAGCACACACAGGACAAGGAACGAAAAACAAATATGGACAAGCAAGTTGCATGGGGTGACGGGATGAGCAGGCGGTGGGTACAAAAGGGCCCATGTGGTGCCATTTAGAAATCGGATTGCGTTCTAGACAGCGGATTGCGTTCGGGACAGCACATTGCATTTGGGACAGCGCATTCGCGCCCAGGCGCATTAGCGTCCGGGACAGTGCATGTGGCGCCGAATGAGTAGTAGGCTCATCACGTTGCCAGTCTCCACGGAGAACCGTTTAGGTATGGAACGGCTTGAGAAATTTGATGATTCATCGACAGAAAGGGGCAGGGAAAACTGAACAGAGGGGGCAAGGGAGGAACGCTGAGTTGAGAAGTAAAGGTGAAAGGGCCAGAACACCTTTGTTTATCGACCAAAAACGTCGCATGCTACTAGGCGGGGATTTGCTGAGGCTCTCGCATGGCTGGCTTGAATGGAAACTAGGGGAATATGTAGTAATGATGGGGGCGAACGGGGGAAATGAACGGGGAAAAAAATGTGGCAAGCTATTGAGTAGGCACTTCTAGTACTAGTAGCAGCTAATAGGCGTGGCAGTAGACTCTATGGAGAACGGCCTTACGCTGGCTATCAGCGAGGATGGTTCCGTCGATGATCAAGCGGCATGCAGCGGCGCCGGAGGTGTCCAGGAGGCCCGCCGTGCCGCGGGGATGATGCTCATCGGCGAG